AGCAGTTTGTCTCATTGCTATATGAATGCTCTGATATGCAACAAGCTTAGTAATTCTGAGTGAAAATTTTTCTTTGTTGGACTGTAGTTCTTTACCTTTTCATCTGCATGAAGACTTTAGTGTAGTTCACTCTACTTTATTTACTATTATTCATAAAAAAGACTTGGCTGATCTCATCCCGCTGATTTATTGATACCTGGTAGAGTAGTTATACCTGGTGGTGGTGTTTATTGTTTGCTTATTCATTTTCAGGTAGAATATTGTGGCAATTGTGCGCTTAGACACATGGACATTGACAACCATTTTGTTAAGGTCTACCATCTTGTATCATGATCTGAAAATATATCATTCCACTCCGTCCCCCCCTCCCCTTTGAATGGAATGTGGCCTGTGTATGCACTGGGGTCACAAGTGCATAAGGCAAAGCAAAACAAAAACGGGAAGTGCACCAAACTTGCGCATTACCTCAGTAACCAAAACTTGAAAGAAAAATATGTTGGTCTGGAACCAAGATGTTGCACATTTATTGGTGTGTTTGGGGTCATTGTCTTGTTGGAACACACCCATTTCAAGGGAATTTCCTCTTCAGCATAAGGCAGCATGACCTCTTCAAGTATTCTGATGTATTCAAACTGATCCATGATCCCTGGTATGCAATAAATAGGCCCAACACCGTAGTATGAGACAAACATCCCCATATCATGGTGCTTGTGCAACCATGCTTCACTGTCTTCACAGTGTACTGTGGCTTGAATTCAGTGTTTGGGGGTCGTCTGACAAACTGTCTCCGGCCACTAGACCCAAAAAGAACAATCTTACTTTGATCAGTCCACAAAATGTTGCGCCATTTCTCTTTAGGCCAGTCAATGTGCTCTTTGGCAAACTGTAACCTCTTCAGCACGTCTTTTTTTCAACAGTGGGACTTTGCGGGGGCTTCTTGCAGATAGCTTGGCTTCACATAGGCGTCTTCTAATTGTATCAGTACTCACAGGTAACTTTAGACCTTCTTTGATCTTCCTGGAGCTGATTGTTGGCTGAGTCCTTGCCATTGTGGCTATTCTTCTATCCATTCGAATGGTAGTTTTTCGCTTTCTTCCACGTCTTTCAGGTTTTTGTTGCCATTTTAAAGCATTTGCGATCATTTTAGCTGAGCAGCCTATCATTTTCTGCACTTCTTTATATGTTTTCCCCTCTCCAATCAACTTTTTAATCAAGGTACGCTGTTCTTCTGAACAATGTCTGGAACGACCCATTTTTCCTCAGAATTTCAGAGAGAAATGCACTGTAACCAGCATGTACAACTTTTGCTGCCTTCCTTCTTTAAATAAAGGCAATAATTGCCACCTGTTTTTCAAATAATGAATGACCTCACCAATAGAACTCCACACTGCTATTATTTTGAACATGCCCCTTTCAATTAGTGATTCAATTACACAGAATCAGCAGCATGCATGTCATGACTGTTGGGTCTGTTGGATTTCTATTACTCTACTACACCTGCTAGTAAATTATTTGCCATGTAGAAATATCATTTCTACCAAAAACAGTGATTGATCATCAGGTTAGTGATGTCTGACTGCTATTATTTTGAACACAACTGTATATATATTTGTTACATCTTTTCTGTAAATATATGTTAATTGCACCATTTTGACCTTTTTAGTAATAAATCCTATTTTCTGAAAAGTGTTGAAACTGTCTCTAAAGCTTTTAATGCAAACTAAAAGAATTCCTGTCTCTGGAGAGTGCTACTGTATGTATTAACTCTCTGCATACATCTGTCTGCCGTGGCAGTGTGTATACAGACTCTAATTCAAATATCATAGTGTTACTGCTAAGATTTGTGAGTTTCCTCCTCCTCTGTAAACATGTGGTGGTGGCAGTGTGAAGGGTTAATTGCGTAATTAACCTGACCCAGTAACAATCGCTCTCAGGCTGCTGACACATAGATTGTGGTCCAGTGAGCTGGAAACTCTTTGTGCAGGGCGCAGCTGAGAGTGGCATTGTTATGCAAGTGGCAACGCGGTCTTAGAACGGCTGGTCCTTCAGTCACAAGTTGGTGAGAAGGGCTGGGGTCTGACGCCGCTCACCGTCACAAATATATGATATTGAAGCTTGAGAATATTAAAAACTTTATGAACAAACGCTAAAGAACTAACACACTACGGGTAGGATTTGTATTTGATTCTTGGTTTTTCTGGGATACCACTGGATTAATAAGAATGTTGTAAGAAGTATGGATATTGAATTAGAAATCAGTTTTTTTTCTACTATAGGACCGACACCCTGGGCCTCAGCGGTCTTTGGGTGCCTTTTCTCCCTTCAGCTGCCAATGATCCTTGGTTATCTGCATGCCTTCTTTGTACATCTGGGTTGAACGGTGAGACCTAATTTGTTGTTTTTATACATTCTGGCTTTTTCTCGAAGCAAAAATTGCCATCTTTGAAAGTAATCTAGTAAACACATATGATTCATTATACCATACATTAAACAGAATATATGAATTTCTATTCACAATTTGTATAATATTGATATGATTATAATATAGAGATGTTGAATCCTTGATACCCCTGAGCAAAGAGCTATGTATCTCTGAAACGCATTGGGTGAATGGAAACACATCAAATTTATGACATTACCTATGACAAGTTGTTTTGTATACTCTATGTATGATGTAATGCACTATAAGCCATATGTTTGGTTCTTATCTTTTAAATTTGTATGAATAAAATGGCTAATGTATTTTTACCATAAAGTTGTGATATGAGTGCCTATAAAGTCCCATAGGGGGTTTAGCAACACATTCTATTACTCTTAAATATGGGGACCAATTTCAACATCCTATTGAAAAAGTGATATCCAAGTGAAAAAGAATGGACCTGGGCACCATAATTGTAAATCTTCTCCTGAGCCCACTGGGCTTGGGCCAAATTTTCCTTCACAATAGGCATCACTTGTGAAATTCTGTCTTGCATTTGCACTACATGCTCAATCATACTTCTATATAAGCACTTACACTTTCCCATGCTTCTCTGACAATGTCCAATAGCCCCTGTGGGTGCCTCCCATACAGTAACTCAAAGCAAGAGCACCCTGCGAATGTGATCTTTTATAGCAAACAAGTATTAGACAATCCCAATCCTGTCTTTACCCATCACCTTCCTTAAAACCTAAAACTTCTTTAGTTCTGTACACTTCGTACAAAGCTCTGTAGTCACCCTGGACATAAATGGGGGTGACTTGGTTTTAAAGTTAAAAAAAAACAAACATGTGTTAGGAGGCTGCAGTAGCGCCTCCTGAACACCTGTCAGCTTGTTATCACTTTTCGGAGGGTAGTAAGCTTACTGCCTATGTGAAAGAGCTGGATGGACAAATGGATCTAGCTTCGTGCACAGAGGCATAGTCATGATGGAAAAGAACAGGGCTAGTAGTGACAGGAAAATTTGGCCACACTGAAACGCACATCCATTTTATTCTACTAAAAATAGCATAAAAACACCATACAATACACCAGTGGGGGAGAAAGGTTCACGCGTTTCATGCTAACCACCGCGCCTAATCATAACATGCAAACCTTTCTCCCCCACTGGTGTATTGTATGATATTTTATGCTGTTTCTAGTAAAATAAAGGGGACGTGTGCGACATTGAAGCTTTCCGGATTTTCCTTTTACTACTAACACAGGTGTACGAACTGGGCCGGCACAAAACGTTGAACGAGTGTGGGGTGTTAGATTAGTGGGCCTACCTAGAGCAGTGCTGCCTTCCTCTTGAACAGAAAAGTGCCTTTCCCAAAAGGTCATCACAGAGGACAAGGGGGCACTCTTTACGTCTGGAAGAAAAGAAATGTAATCTCCAAATATGGAAAGGTTTCTTCAGAAGTACCGTATTTATTCAAGTATAACGCGCACACGTGTATAATGCGCACCCCTAATTTTCGATTAAAAATCGGTATAAAATTTTGTTTCACTTTTTCTCGGCTCAGACCAAGCATTGTAAGTGACAAACGTTGTTGAACACGTGCGGCCATGATAAAAATCATTTGACAACGTAAACTATGAACACAATACCGAAATAAAATAAAAGGACGACTTTCTGTTTTCTCCATTCTCTAACATGCTTACCGTAACGTGTGGGCGAGGCGAGGAAAGGAAATGAAGAGGCGACCATACGTTACAGCGGATAAGAATTCTCACCCCCAGTGCATCTAGCCAGTTCGGGCCGCCCACTGTACGCGACGAGGGGACGTAGAAAAAAAAAAACGATCCCCTGTTTTCGCCACCCCTTAAAGGGGCGGGGCCGGCACAGGGGACATTTTTTTTTTTCTTCGCGTACAGTGAGCACCTGCGCCCTCAATGGATCGGCCGCCACTGCGTCACCCCACCCCAGCCCTCGTTTATAACGCGCACCCAAACTTTGATTTCTTTTTTTGGTAGAAAATTTTGCGCGTTATACTCGAATAAATACGGTAAGAGATGTGGAATAGACTCCCTCAAAAGTTCATTTTGGCCAGCTCAGTGGATTGCTTTAAAAAAGGTCTGGATTCTTTCTTGGATACACAGAATATAACTGGATACTAAGATTTATAGGTAAAGTTGATCCAGGGAATATCCGATTGCCTCTCGGGGGATCAGGAAGGAATTGTGTTCCCCTGCAGGAGCAAATTGCATCATGCTTTGTTGGGTTTTTTGCCTTCCTCTGGATCAACTGTGGGTGTAGGATTATAACTCTTTTTTTTATTGTTATGGTTGAACTGGATGGACTTTTGCCTTTTTTCAACCAGACTGACTATCATATGGGTATCTGTGTAAATGCACATAAAATAATACATATGTCATTAGAGCATTACCCATCTGCCCTATTATCAATTTGTTAGTAAATGCCAGAAGTAAAAAAAAAAAAAATAAAAGCCAATGGTCTTTACTACATGACCAGTAAAATTTAACCAATATTAGCATGTTTATATGCCATCACACCATAAAAGCTATTTAATGTACATACTTTTCATCTGGAGGTCTTGGAGAAGGAACTTTTGGATGCAGCTTTCTGCGTTGTTGGGCTTCTTCTAGGAGATTTTCATCCTTTGTAAATATTCCTTCCATGAGGTCCATTGTGGTCATCATTTTGGTGTTAGGATCTAAAATGTCTGCAAGAGACTTGTCTTTACCTACTATTTCTCTTACCAGCTCTTCTGATTTTAAGTCTGCATAAATCAAATCCTTGCTCTTGGAGTTACTACTTAGTAGAGAAGAGCCTGCTCCTTCTTTTATGTTTTCAGAGGGTTCCAGATCTGGTTGACTTTCTGTTAGTTTGAACTGTTCTTCTGGATCTGGCCCTTGCCTTGTGTAAGCACAAAAGCGAGAGTAAGATTGTTCAGAGATGCTGAGAGTCTTGAGCTGATCTTTTCCAACAGCAGCGTGTAAGGCAGAAGGCTCAATGGCACTCAGCAAGTTATTCCTACTTTCCTTCTCTGCATGACTTTCAGAATGAACAATCTTGATGGGAACCATCTTTACTGTAGTGTTGTCTATCACTCGTTCAATCCTGACAATAAAAAAAACAAAAAACACATTGTTATTCTGTTCACCTATCTTTACAGTGCTGGATAATAAGGTATTTCTAAAAAGAACTAACATTTTGAAATTGCCATACAAACTGGATTTAGAAAGGCATCCACGAAATCAGATACACTACAGTTAAGATGTCACAAGATCTAAACGCTATGTTTGGTTTTATAAAATTACATGGAAGGATAGCACAAATATAAGCTACCGTGTTTCGAGCTCAACTTTCCTTCTGAACATACACATAGCAAAAACCGCTAGGGTAAAAAAAAAGGGGTCAAGCAAAGTACAGCTCTGCCATAATACAGTACACAGCACAATGGTAATGCTGTAAATGTAAAACTGGAGACTAAACTTTTAAATCAAACCAGTTGTTGAGGGGAAGAAACAAGCCCCAGCTGTCTGGCAGACACCTATGGGTGCTTGGATATATTAGTGCTCTTGGTCACTGCTCTTAATTGGATTCCCACAAAAATATCATGGCAAATACAGAACACACTGATATGGGCAGCACTGCCCCACGTGACAGTGTCTGGAAACAAACATTGATTGCTTAGACACCACACACTGAATTAGGGAGTGTCAGGTGTTCCCCTAAACCCATGAGAATTTCAAACCAGAGCGTGGGACTGTTGTAGTGTGGAGCCTAGAACAAGGGTGGAGGCAGACCAGAGCTCAACCAAAATATTTTCCAGTGACCATATTTTTGGGATGTCAGGATACCTCGAATAGAATACATGAAGATACTTGTTTTATGGGCCCACTGCCAGCTTAAAGCATGCCTGCACTGATTTTTAATAATGCAAATGCCAGCAAGATGTTAATGCAAGCACCCAGAGAAACCTGGGTGTAGCACGTGTTAGTCTGGAAGTCGATACTTTAGCTAATGTATAAGCTGAGCAATGGGGCATTGTTGGACTCAAGCCATTTATTGCTTGTGTGAAAACCCATCATTTGCCTAGTACTGCCTTTCAAAATCATATTGTTATAGAAAAATATAAAATCACATTTACTATGCTTTTAAACAGAGCATTCATGTATGCACAGCATAGATTCTAGAAACAGCAATGTCAAGTACTCATGAACACAATGGACAATCCTATTTCTTGAAAGTCAAAGACCACAATGAAAAGAATGGGTACCTGCTTACTGCCAATAAGGAAATATGAAGCATTCTTTACAGTGTATGCCTTCAGATGGAAAAATAATCATTTTCCTGACTCATTTTTTCCCAGTAGTTTGAAACAGAAGGCATTCTGTGTCACCCCTGGCTTCCCATTAACAATTACTTATAGCAGTGTAAAATATGATCATCTTTAGATTTTAAGCATAAAAACGTACGATATGAAAAATATGCACTAAATATGTATTTATAAATAATGTACTAAACTAAGCCAGCCCAGATTTGGTTTGATTTCCTTCCGAAAAAAAGAAACTATTTGATTCCCCACAGCGCTATTGTGTTCTGCCAGCAGGGGGGCATGGGGAGCCTTAATGGCTGGCAGAACACAATGATTACTGCACGTGGCTATAGCAGCTGGCTGTAAATCACATGTAAAAAAATGCAACAGGCTGGTTGTACCAAAGTCGACCCATGGATCGACTTGGGTACCAATCAGCCTGCCCTTGCGTGAATTGAATCTCAGGCAGGCCCTGCTTAACCGGCCAAACTTCGATCCATGTATGGTCGACTTTAGCATACATTTTCTATAACCATCAATTTTGAAATCGGTTTCCGCATTATGAAATCCTTAGTCACAACTGTTTTTTTTTTTTTACACTTCGCTCAGCTGTGGGCAAGCAGCAGGGTTTAGAGTCACCCTCATGTCGTCTTCCGCAGGCTGACTAGCCACGCTTCCGCCAGCTGATCATAGAGGCGGCAGTGGCAGAACCCACTGCAGAGCATGCCGGGGACAGATCGGCAGCTCCTCCCCCAGCAGATATCAGGCGGCTCCCCAGTGTCATACTCATCCCTGACCCCTGGGTGGAGCCTGCTGTGAGGCACACATTGATTGGGCGGGACTTGAGGAGCGGGTGTGGCCACCTTCGAAGGTGATCACTCCTTGCCACAGGTGTGCTGTTGTGAGAAGGCTGCAGAACTGGTATGTGTGCTGTGTAGCAGTGAATGGAGAGATAGTGATCAGGAAACACATGCTAACACTTTTATTGCTAGAGGATAGCGAGTGGACATGGTTGACCCTTTTATTGCTGACAGATGATACCCCAGTTGGAAGTGCATGATTAACCCTCTCCGATCTGTGTTGGAAGTGTATGATTAACCATTTCATTGCTAGCAGATCCCTGGTGGACATATGCATTTCCATTTGGGATCAGCACCATTTTTGAAAATGGAAAGCATTTGATCACATCGATCTTGGTGTGATCAAATGATTTTAAGGGCAGAGGAAGGATCTGGGGTCTTATTGTCCCCAGATCTCTCCATAAAGAGTACCTGTCACTGCATATTGCTGTCACAGGGGATGTTTACATACCTTGTGATGGCAATAAAAGTGATAAAAAAAATTAAAAGCAACAGTGTAAAAATAAAAAAATACTATATTTTTAAAGCATCCCCATCCCCCTGTGCTTGCACGAAAAGGCGAATGCATGTGTCAGTTCTGCACCCATGCAAACAGCGATCATCCCACACATGTGAGATATCACCGTGAACATCTGTAATTCTAACACCATACCTCCTCTGTAAATCTAAAGCAGTAACCTATGAAGGCTTTTGGATACTGGCCTATGGATAGTAAAATTTACATAGTTTGTTGCCATTGCACGGGAGGGAACATTTTTAAAGCATGACATGTTTGATATTTACCCAAACAAACATCATCTTTACCAGAAAACTGGGTTACATATTGTGTTTTTTTGCATTCAAATTAAAAAGTGTTTTGTTTTAAAAAAAATGCATTTGAAAACCGCTGCACAAATACTGTGTGACAGAAAAAATTGCAACACCCACTAATTTATTCTCTAGGGCCATCTATATAATGTTTGAGGATTCAAAGACATTTTCTAGCAAAGAATAAAAAACATTAAAAGTTTTAAGTCGCCATAAAGCCATTTTTAAAAGCACCTCTCAAAGTAGATTGTCATGAGGGGCAAGTAGATTGGGACCCAGATTTAGTCCTTGGACAAGTAGTTTTTTCCATACCCCTGAGATTCTTTGCATATTAATGTAGTTACTAAAGCCCAACGCAACCAAATGTTTTCATTTTTGACAGAACAGGGGAATGTTAGAACCTCACTTCTTATTTGTTTACAGGGAGTTAAAAAAGGCAGTGAGAAAAAACCTCCAACAGCAGCAAAAATATTCTTATTACAAGGGAGAACCTTAATACCTGTTTTTTTGCTACATATACAGTCAGGTCCATAAATATTGGGACATCGACACAATTCTAACATTTTTGGCTCTATACACCACCACAATGGATTTGAAATGAAACAAACAAGATGTGCTTTAACTGCAGACTGGCAGCTTTAATTTGAGGGTATTTACATCCAAATCAGGTGAACGGCGTAGGAATTACAACAGTTTGCATATGTGCCTCCCACTTGTTAAGGGACCAAAAGTAATGGGACAATTGGCTTCTCAGCTGTTCCATGGCCAGGTGTGTGTTATTCCCTCATTATCCCAATTAAAATGAGCAGATAAAAGGTCCAGAGTTTATTTCAAGTGTGCTATTTGCATTTGGATTCTGTTGCTCTCAACTCTCAAGATGAGATCCAAAGAGCTGTCACTATCAGTGAAGCAAGCCATCATTAGGCTGAAAAAACAAAACAAACCCATCAGAGAGATAGCAAAAACATTAGGCGTGGCCAAAACAACTGTTTGGAACATTCTTAAAAAGAAGGAACGCACCGGTGAGCTCAGCAACACCAAAAGACCGGAAGACCACAGAAAACAACTGTGGTGGATGACCGAAGAATCCTTTCCCTGGTGAAGAAAACACCCTTCACAACAGTTGGCCAAATCAAGAACACTCCCCAAGAAGTAGGTGTATGTGTGTCAAAGTCAACAATCAAGAGAAGACTTCACCAGAGTGAATACAGAGGGTTCACCACAAGATGGAAACCATTGGTGAGCCTCAAAAACAGGAAGGCCAGATTAGAGTTTGCCAAACGACATCTAAAAAAGCCTTCACAGTTCTGGAACAACATCCTATGGACAGATGAGACCAAGACCAACTTGTACCAGAGTGATGGGAAGAGAAGAGTATGGAGAAGGAAAGGAACTGCTCATGATCCTAAGCATACCACCTCATTAGTGAAGCATGGTGGTGGTAGTGTCATGGCGTGGGCATGTATGGCTGCCAATGGAACTAGTTCTCCTGTATTTATTGATGATGTGACTGCTGACAAAAGCAGCAGGATGAATTCTGAAGTGTTTCGGACAATATTATCTGCTCATATTCAACCAAATGCTTCACAACTCATTGGACGCCGCTTCACAGTGCAGATGGACAATGACCTAAAGCATACTGCAAAAGCAACCAAAGAGTTTTTTAAGGGAAAGAAGTGGAATGTTCTGCAATGGCCAAGTCATTCACCTGACCTGAATCCGATTGAGCATGCATTTCACTTGCTGAAGACAAAACTGAGGGGAAAATGCCCCAAGATTGAGCAGGAACTGAATACAGTTGCAGTAGAGGCCTGACAGAGCATCACCAGGGATGAAACCCAGCATCTGGTGATGTCTATGCGTTCCAGACTTCAGGCTGTAATTGACTGCAAAGGATGTGCAACCAAGTATTAAAAAGTGAAAGTTTGATTTATGATTATTTATTTTGTCCCATTACTTTTGGTCCCTTAACAAATGGGAGGCACATATGCAAACTGTTGTTATTCCTACACCGTTCACCTGATTTGGATGTAAATACCCTCAAATTAAAGCTGACAGTCTGCAGTTAAAGCACATCTTGTTCGTTTCATTTCAAATCCATTGTGGTGGTGTATAGAGCCAAAAATGTTAGAATTGTGTCGATGTCCCAATATTTATGGACCTGACTGTATGTGTCCCCACTAGAAATATTTCTCACCACATCTGCAGATAACAAGAGCACAGACAGCATTTCATCCAAAAGAACCTTAACCAGGCAAGAATGTGCATTTCAATTTGCTAACATATATATATATATATATATATATATATATATATATATATATATATATATATATCACACACACACATATACACCACTTTTTTCCTCTCAACAAAAATGTAATTGCTCTTTAAATACACTGTATAGTAATTAATTATGTGGCAATGGTACATGTTCATATATAGAGTCAATTTCAGCTCCTGGATACATGTTATTCCCAACACCCAATACACTTAGACTTTAAATTCATGTTCAAAGTGAAATTCCAAAATAACGGTAACTATACTTAAAAATGTTCTCAACACCCCCCCCCCCCCCCCCCCCCACCTACTTTTACTCCGCTACAGTCCCATGATTACCCTTATTCCTCCCGGGTCAGTGAGTGATGACTGCAGAGGAGAGGAGGGAGCACTCGTTAATAGCTGGGAATTCTGGGAACTGTGAAGTCACTCATAGGATTCCATGTCCCAGCTGTTGCTGGCACTCCTTCCGCTCCCCTGCAGCCACCACTTACCATGATGCACAGGAGACAGAGTTGCAGGACTTGTAATTATATAAGGAACATTTATAAGCATAGTTAGTGTTAGACTGGAATTCTACTTTAAATTTAAATCTGAATGATAGTGGGCAACACAGACTGTAAAAATGTTGTCTACAGGTTATAGTTAGGTTTTAAAATATCTACCTGGCCAGATTTTCATCCTGAACCATGAGTGGAGGTTTATCCGTAAGCTTTTGTGGAGCAAACTGAGGTGAAGGTGATCGTGAAGGTTCCATCCCAGGTTTTTGCAGATAGCAAGGCTTTGAAGACCTTTCAGGCTCAGAACTGCTGTGTTTTTTCTCTAGGTGCTGCCCAACATTCTCCAGTGACCCAGAGAGTTGGGGGTTGTGCAAAGGTACACTTAAGTGTTTATCCGAAGGCACCCCAGGGCTATGGCCAGGTGTCGTCTCAGGCTTAATGGCATCTAGGCTTGCAGGAGAATAAGGAGGAACACTTTTCCCTTGTGCTGTTGTCAGTAAGGACTCCGTGGAAGTGGCAATAGAAGATGAAGAACCACTCTGCCTCCAGTACTTGTCAAGCTTGGGTGGAGGTGGTCTTTGAGGTGCTGGCCCCCGTTTCTTATTCACAGGCAATACATCTTGCCACTGGTTTCCTTCGCTAGCTTGTGGAAAATCCTTGATGTCAGACTGATTTTCTGAAATAGGAGAAGCTGAATGGTTGAAATCTCTGCTTCTATGCCTCACATTTTCATTCACAAATCTGTAATCACTGGGGAGGGTCCCAGATCTTGCCCTGCTTTCTTGGGGTACATTCACTGTGTCTGAGATTTCAGAGGATTTACTTGTCGGCTTGTGTTTGTTGTCACGTAATCTATCCTCTGTTTCTGCTGACGGGTCTCCTCTCTCCTCTGTCTTTGCAATCCTGCAATGAAACACAGGAAGCATTTTAATGTTTAATATTAGTTCAGTTTGTAAAAATATAGCTGAGAATCCATTGCTTCTTACTTTCCATGTATATCTACATTAAATGCGTATACAACCATCTGCAAAGTTCAGCTGCACGTCTATTAAATGCACAGTAAATGTCCCAGAAGTAGAGGAGGTTGACATTGGAAACATTTTTTTTTCAGCTTAATGTAGAGAATGCATTAAGGTAAAAACCTTTTGCCTTTAGAACCATTTAAGTATCAGATTAACGTAACTGGCAAGTTTAAATACATCCGGTTAATACGGTGTACCACCCCATGACATCCAGAGTGTTTCTTTGATGGACGGAGTGATGGACTGAAAGAAACATGTAGTATTACCTACCTAGCAACCATACTAGGGGAGTTGAAACCTGCCAGTGTTAGCATTCTGTGATCTGGGGGATCTAGGTCATAGAAGAAAGCATCTAAAAAAAGGCAACATTTGGTGCCCACATTCTAGAGATAGAGCCTAGTGCCTTTGTGGGCATCGACAGGTGTAATTTAACAAAACTGACCTTCAGCAGAGATAAAGTGTCAGTCAGACTAAGGCAAAAAAAAGTTAACAATAACAACAACAAAAAAAAAATTGGGGCAGCAATTTAGACTGTCAATTTTCTTCGTTTGTTTCTGCCATGTGGATTTTGTCCTTTAAAAAAGTTTGGGTCTCACTATTTGAATCCAAGTTGTGGATTTACGCCTCTCTCATGCTCGCTCTCGCTCCCAGTAAGAACCATACATTTTAATTAGTTGTTAATGATATTGGAATTACAAACTGATTTTCAAGAGTTTGAGTTATTTCCTCCTTAACTATGCCATACCTTCTTTTAGATAAACTGTGTATACTGCAGCATTAGAGGACCCAACAAACCTCAAAAAAACCTTTTTTTCCTTGGAATTTCACTTTTGCTATAAGTGCATCTGCACTTAAATTTTTATCTTAGTCTCCCTGCAAAGTCTCAAAAATATCTCTCAGTGAAGTCCACTTAATATACGTTACAGTTTCCTAGAGGGTGGAAACAATGTTGCACTGCTTCTGAATACAGAGCAGAGTTGCCACTCTCATGTAGGCTGTATCTAAAAGAAAATTGTATAATGTATGGCCATAGTGTAGATTGTCACCCAACACCTGGCCACACCTAGTTCTGCCCACTGATTTCTAGAATGACAGCACTGTCTCTGTTGCTGGAAACTTCCAACTATAAGCTGCAGTGTCTGAGAGGTGGAGTGTATAAAATACAAACGAAGGGGGATGTGTCTCATAAGGTAATGGTAGTTTTTTTCTTTACTTTACGAGGCTGTGCATCACATAGTAACTGATTTTGGTACCTGTCAGTTATTGACAGGACAAACAGTAAGTTTTACTTGTACTTTTTGGCAACACTTCTCTTGTGGGCCACAGGAGTACATTCACATTTGTTCTGTGAGCTGGAGTCAGCTGATAGTGGGTTATTGCCCACTATCAGCTCATGGGCAGAATCACATCATGCTTTATAGGGATCCTGACAATATTGTAGGGGTCCATGTCACTGCCTAATTAAAAGCAGGCTCCACATTTCAGAGTGCAGCTGACAGCCAGATCTACCCCTCCACTAGATCGGTGCTCCAGTGAACACCAGAAGAGCAATGACTGAAAGTCACTATTTCTGCTAGGAGCAGACCAAGACCTGAGTGATCAATGGTCACGTGATCACTCATTTCTCAGTCTCAAAGCTAACGTGGAACAGTTGCAGCATCAAAGAGATGCTGCATTTGTGGAGGCAAGTATGCAGTTTTTTTACATAACGCCCATACCTCTCCTTTAATAAAATATACCTATTTTTAAAATGTTGTTAGATGTCTGATGTCATATTCTGTTGTTGACTGGCTTATTTGGTCTTGGGCCAATCTCATACCCACCAAACTTCTGTGAGTATTCACTTATTTGGATAACATCTAACAGTACTTTACACTATCTTGTTTCCCTGTGAAAGGATTTGTAGCTTATCTTTACTTTCCCCATCCTCGTGTTGCCAGTAAACTTCTATTAAATTTATAATGAAGCCATTGAAGATTAACTGGAAAAACAGCAAACGGAAGGGTTATCTAGAACGTGCTGAAAGAAGAGTAATTATCTTTCTTGAGAGACTGCAATTCTTCTCTGGCACTTTTTTGCAAATTATGAATAATCACATCAAGCAGGTGTTGATGCTTGCCAGATATAAATTCACAAGGCAGTAGAAAACATTCCAAGAGTTCAGCACAATCTGCTAAGAATTAAATGGTTCTATTAGCATACTGCATCTGCATGCACATCCAGTATGCTAATGAACGTTATATACACCACCTCCAAAAATTAAAAGCAAGCAAATACAATACTTCTAGACATAAAATTGCTCTCATCTCATATAATCTCTCATCTCATGAGTCAGTAAACAGCTGGAAATTGTCTACCAAGGGAGAGATTTATAAAGCCGTCCACGTGAAGTATCCTCCCCTTGCCTAATATATAAAACCACTATTGATGTATATTAGAAAGATGTAAAAAAAAAAAAAAAAAAAAAAACAAAAAACTGGTGGAAAGCTCTCAACTGTGCTCACTTCAAATGTTTGGAATGACTAAGTATGTCCCTTGCTCAACTATAGTATAATATGCTTTGATCAAGCTAAAACCAACAAAGTCCCTATGAGTGGGTTAAATCCCATACCCCTGTCAAATATTTGGAGCCTGATTGGCATGGCGAGCCTACCATAAGCAAGCAAGCCAGAACTAGACGCTAAAGTGAGTAGGAAAAATGATACCCTTAGTTAAAGCCCAACTCCAATAAACGTAAATACCCTTCCTTGCAGTTGGGCTGCATCCACACTGCAAGTGTTAAATACTTACTTATGTCTAGGGGATGGGAAAAGCAGTTTTACTTACCTGATCCCTGCTCCCTGCAGATGACACCCCCCAATGCTCTGGAGGTGGACTGTTCCCTGGTTAAAGGCCCAGCTGCATGGAGGAGCAGAGGACACACTGACAGCAATAAAAACCCACTGGGAAGGTTTAGAACCTGTCAACCCGTGTAGAACCTCTGTATTCATGTTTGAAAGATTTACCCTGACTTCCTGTCCAGGTCATGGGTGTCAGACAAAAGGAGGAAGGAGAATCTCTTTAAGATTTAGACAACATTTATAACCTTGCCAGCACATCAAAGTTTTCAGACCTCAAAAGTTTTACTGAAACCATAGTTGCAAAGACATAATGAAAGTACAAAAAAAAAAAATCACAACACTGATGTTTTGTAAACACATATGCCCCTTTCCCAAAGGTGTGTATACTAGACATATACGCTCCACACACACACACATATATATAAGTACATACATACAGTGGGGCAAAAAAGTATTTAGTCAGCCACCAATTGTGCAAGTTCTCCCACTTAAAAAGATGAGAGAGGCCTGTAATTGGCATCATAGGTAGACCTCAACTATGAGAGACAAAATGAGAAAAAAAATCCAGACAATCACATTGGCTGATTTGGAAAGAATTGATTTGCAAATTATGGTGGAAAATAAGTATTTGGTCACCTACAAACAAGCAGGATTTCTGGCTCTCACAGACATGTACTTTCTTCTTTAAGAGGCTCCTCTGTCCTGCACTCATTACCTGTATCAATGGCACCTGTTTGAACTTGTTATCAGTATAAGACACCTGTCTACAACCTCAAACAGTCACACTCCAAACTCCACTATGGTGAAGACCAAAGAGCTGTCGAAGGATACCAGAAACAAAATTGTAGACCTGCACCAGGCTGGGAAGACTGAATCTGCAATAGGCAAGCAGCTTGGTGTGAACAAATCAACTGTGGGAGCAATAATTAGAAAATGGAAGACATACAAGACCACTGATAATCTCCCTCGATCTGGGGCTCCACGCAAGATCTCACCCCGTGGGGTCAAAATGATCACAAGAACGGTGAGCAAAAATCCCAGGACCACACGGGGGGACCTAGTGAATGACCTGCAGAGAGCTGGGACCAACGTAACAAAGGCTACCATCAGTAACACACTACGCCGCCAGGGACTCAGATCCTGCAGTGCCAGACGTGTCCCCCTGCTTAAGCCAGTACATATCCGGGCCCATCTGAAGTTTGCTAGAGAGCAATTGGATGATCCAGAAGAGGATTGGGAGAACGTCATATGGTCAGATGAAACCAAAATAGAACTGTTTGGTAGAAACACAACTCGTCGTGATTGGAGGAGAGAGAATGCTGAGTTGCATCCAAAGAACACCATACCTAATGTGAAGCATGGGGGTGGCAACATCATACTTTGGGGCTGTTTCTCCGCAAAGGGACCAGGACGACTGATCCATGTACAGGACAGAATGAATGGGGCCATGTATTGTGAGATTTTGAGTGCAAACCTCCTTCCATCAGCAAGGGCATTGAAGATGAAACATGGCTGGGTCTTCCAACATAACAATGATCCCCAAACATACCGCCCGGGCAACGAAGTAGTGGCTTCGTAAGAAGCATTTCAAGGTCCTGGAGTGGCCTAGCCAGTCTCCAGATCTCAACCCCATAGAAAACCTTTGGAGGGAGTTGAAAGTCCGTGTTGCCCAGCGACAGCCCCAAAACATCACTGCTCTAGAGGAGATCTGCATGGAGGAATGGGCCAACATACCAGCAACAGTGTGTGCCAACCTTGTGAAGACTTACAGGAAACGTTTGACCTCTGTCATTGCCAACAAAGGATATATAACAAAGTATTGAGATGAACTTTTGATATTGACCAAATACTTATTTTCCACCATAATTTGCAAATACATTATTTCCAAATCAGCATATGTGATTGTCTGGATTTTTTTTTCTCATTTTGTCTCTCATAGTTGAGGTCTACCTATGATGCCAATTACAGGTCTCTCATCTTTTTAAGTGGGAGAACTTGCACAATTGGTGGCTGACTAAATACTTTTTTGCCCTACTGTACCTAATGAAGACTTGCCAGGTTCGCATAATTTGAAACCTGGCTGAGGATCTAAAGCTTTCCTCGGATCTCAAGCTTTCCTTGGGTTCAAATAATTGGGCTTTAACATCCAATAATGACTTCTTCCAAACCAGAAGACATAGGGTCAAAACATGCAAGGCCTTATTGAACAGATGTCATTCCTGCTTAACTAGTTGCCGACCGCAGATAGCCGAATGACGGCTGCACTGCGGCCGGCCAGTTCTGAGTGGACGTCATATGACGTCCTCCCAGAACGCGCTCTCCTGCGCGCCCCAGGGGGCGCGCACCCGGCGATCTCCGTGATCGCTGTGTCCTACGGACACAGCTGATCACGTAATGTGGTAAAAGGCCAATCACAGCGACCTTTTACCACGTGATCAGCGGTGTCCAATGACACGCTGATCAGAGGGAAATGCAAGTGCCGCTTCTCGGCTGCACTTTCCTCACGCTGTCAGATCGTGAGGAAAGTACTGCCGAGAACCGGCAGTTGTCAGAGCGGAGATCGGCACCGATCAGCCGGACACTGATGATCAGTGCCCTGATGATTGGTGCCCAGCAGTGCCACCCGCAAGTTTCGCCCACCTGTTCCCAGCAGTGCGCCCACTAGCTCCGCCCACCTGTGCCCAGCAGATCACCCACCTGTGCCCAGCAGTGCACCCACCTGTGCCCAGCAGTGCACCCACCTGTGCCACTCTGCAGTGCCACCTACCTGTGCCCAGAAGTGCCACCTACCTGTGCCCACCCACCCGTGCCCACCAGTGCCACCCACCAGTGCTGCCCACCAGAGCCACCCACCAGTGCAGCCCAGCAGTGCTGCCAGTCAGTGCCACCAGTCAGTGCCCAGGAGTTGTGCCAGTCAGTGCCGCCAGTCAGTGCCCAGCAGTGATGCCAGTCAGTGCCGTCTATCAGTACCCATCATCAGTGTCACCTATCAGTGCCGCCTATCAGTGCTGCATATTAGTGCCGCCTATCCGTGACACCTCATTAGTGCTGTCTATCAGTGCCGCCTATCCGTGCCACCTCATTAGTACTGCCTATCAGTGCCCATCAGTGCTGCCTATCAGTGCCCATCAGTGCTGCCTATCAGTGCCCATCAGTGCTGCCTATCAGTGCCCATCAGTGCTGCCTCATCAACGCACATCAGTGAAGGAGAAAAAAATACCTGTTTTAAAAATTTTATAATAGAAACAAAGAAACTTTTTTTTTTTTTCAAATTTTTTTGCAATTTTTTTTTATTATAGCGCAAAAAGTAAAGTGATGATCAAAATTTCATATGGGTACAATGTTGCATGACCGCGCAATTGTCAATCAAAGTGCGGCAGCGCTGAAAGCTGAAAATTGGCCTGGTAAAGAAGGGGGTATAAGTGCCTGGTAGGCAAGTGGTTAAAGCAGAGTTCCACTCAACCTATCAAAAAATAAGTCAGCAGCTACAAAAACTAGCTGACTTTTAAAAAACAGCCACTTACCTGTCCCTCGGTCCCGTGGTGTGTCCCCCGCAGCTAATTTCACCGGCCGTCCTGTATTCCAGTAGGCCAGCATCTTCAGTGTGGGCACCCCGCTGTGATAGCTTGCGGCTTCACAGCCGGGTACCCACTGCGCATGCACGAGTAGCGCTGCGCTTCATGAATGGTCCTGTAGTCTTCTGGGACCAGTTATGTGTCCCAAAAGAATACAGGAAGGGAGGGAAGGAGGACACCTTCCACGCGATCGGACCGGAAGTAGGAGCTGGTACCTGTCAAATTCGGGTACCCGCTCCCCCCCCCCCCCCCCCGCTCCCCAAAGTGCCAATCCTTAATGGGGAGCAGGAAAGCAGTCCTTAAAGTGGATCTTCCCCTTTTGGGTGGAGCTCTGCTTTAAGAACATGCTAGGTCTGGTGTGGGAAAAGTAGCTGCATATAACCAAATGTCTTAACTAGTATGCCAGCTTAGTGAACCACCCTAAGGTGCAGAGAGTTCATAAAAGATAATAGAAAGGCAATCTGCAGGGACATTCATATGTTTGTATATGTCAACTAAGCTTTAACAAAAAAAACTGGAAGCTGACTGGTTTCTATGCAGAGCTGTACCAGATTTTGCATTCTCCAGTTTTAGTAAATCAACCCCATTGGATCAAAAAAGGCATATTCAATTTCCCCTCAGATAACATGCAACATATTCAATAAAATATGATTTTTATTAAAGTGTCTGTGAACCCAAAGAAGAAATAATCAAAATGGATCACTCATCTATAGTGCATTCAAGTGATGACACTTGTTTTTCTCTACTACTTTTTATGGTTAATAAAAATACTTGTTAATCCTTCCAGTTTCATTCTTTTCCCAGTTTGGGGTGACAACGCAATTTGTAGGCAGCTCTCCCTGTATTGGTGTTGTCACCCCTTTCACACTAGCTCCCTTTCAGAGTCGCTCAGTCTGCTGTTTATGTCACAGGTAGCCATGTTGACCACATTGGTGATAGCATTCAGGGAGTTCCCCTGCTGTCTACACATTGAGCAGTCCAGCAGCAATTTGTGAGTAAAAAGAAGGGAAGCCAAGAGCAAAGTCGCCAGTATACATGATGCACTGCATGCTTACACTTGTCTTCTGGGCCATCATGAGCATTAAAAAATAATAATTTGCAGTATTACTTACACTGTGATTTAACAGATAATGCTCCCTTACGGCTTTCCATAACTAAGAATATTCAGAGAAAGGTGGATAAGTTACATATGCTTTATCTCCTAGATTGTAAGCTCCAAGGAGCAGGGCCCTCAAATCCCTCTTGTATTGAACTGTATTGTTGCTGTATTGCCTCCCGTTATATTGTAAAGTGCTGAGCAAACTGTTGGCGCTATATAAATCCTGAATAATAATAATAATGATCTGAGAATATGGTCAATAATTGAACATTTAGAATAGGCAAACAGATCAGAGGGTAACATAGCGCATACAATCATTTTTACTATGACATTGTGTGTGCACTCAGGATTAATCGGACAAGGGTTAGACCAGGGGTGGTAAACCTTTCGGTTCAAGACAGCCATGAAGGAGGCACAACACAAATCATAAACTTACTTAAAAATTTAGATTTTTTTATTTATTTATTTCTTTTTAAAATGCATTTACAAATAGCGAGCTTTGATAGTGTCTCTTTACTGAAGTTTTATCAAAAAAGAAAAATATCTCCACTCTTCACAATCTTGCCTTATTCATGTCATCAGTTTCGGCAGCACCTATATTTGTAAGCAACTATTTCCAAGGATGAGACACACAAAGAGTAAAATTAGAACCAAAATATCTGATGAGCACCTTGAGCATTAATTGAAATTACTACTACATCCATCGAACCAGATATGGATGTGTTAGTTGATCTAAAACAATATCAAATATTGCACTAGTTTTATGTTTATGATTATAATGAAAACAAATCACAAAAATGAAGTTTTATTACTCAGATAGTTACATTATCTACATCAGTGATATCACCTTGTGATCTACCTGACTTTTTCTGCTCATCAGCTATCCTTAGTGTATTTTACGTGTGGCCCAAGACAATTCCTTTTCTTCCAATATAGCCCAGAAAAGTCAAAAGGTTGGACACCCCTGGGTTAAAGTGACACATTTTTGCTATGTCTGTTTCCATTTTGAGGGAATTGACGGGTTCCTACACTTCCTGTTAGATTTCTTATCTTTTAATATGAAGAATGTAACAGAATGAGCTAGAACATGCAAAAGGTGAATGGAAACACCCAAAATACCAGGTGAACAATCTGGTCGGGAATTATGAGCAGGGAGATGTTACTGCTGGACTATCCGAAATAAAAGATGCCAGGGTCTTGCTCAACTCCCCAGGTTCCTCCATAACGAAAATATTGCTGCTGGGGTGACGGGGTCTTTAAATGTTGCTACTTGAAGTGGATGCTGCAGATTTTTACACAATTTTAGGAAAGCTTGAAACTGATATAATATCCTAGCACTTGTATCTGTCTATATTTCTACACGTATCACACAAACATGAAGTAATAACTAAATTAGTCAAACAAAAACATGTTGCTTCTGGGTTAAACCGGAATGAATGTATTACACAGTACAAAATTGGGGACCTGTCCTTGCCTGCTTTAAACTAACACAACCAATTGGAGTTTTCTGAGTCAGGAACAACCATTGCCAAAAGCAATATAAGTGCATGCATAACATTGTCCTAGTATTTCCTGTCAGTTTGTACTATGCATTTTATTTTACAAAATACTATAAAAGCAAAGAAGATGAAAATTATTAACAGCTTGTGAAAGCTTTCAAAGAACCTAGGTGACCCATGTTGCCAAGAATATGTGTACAAAGCTAGCTGAAAAAAGGACCTGCCTGCAATCAGTAAATATTATAAAAGAGTGTTGAGAGAGTATTATACTGTTTTGTTCAGTACTTAAGAGTACACAAGGACTGCATGATTATACTGTGCAAAGTCAACAGGCTAAATTGTAAACCTTACACAAAGCAATGCGGTTATCAAAGCGATATACTACAAGGAACTATTAACAATGTGACACAACGGGGGTTTGCAAGAAATTAACTTCTAGAACTCAGAAAATGTTCTCAATCTTTAAAGCAGCCTTTCTAAACCTTTAACCTTGGAAATACCCTTAAAATAGTTTTTATAGATGTCTGGGAACCACGCTAAAAACTATTTTATCTACAGCTCACAGTACATAGGTATGATCAATAGCTCTTTTACAGACAGCTCACAAGAAACTTCACTGGCCTCAGTGGTTACTTACCTGAAAATTGAGGAGAGAGGATCCACTGGTCCTACGTGCTGTCTGTACAAAACAATATTGGTGCTGGAACTTTGCAGGCACAGTCAGGTAAAAGATCTGTTACTGCTCAACGAAACACTAGGAACCTCTGGAGGAATCACAGGGTTCCACAGAACCCTGGTTGGTAACGGCTACTTTAAAGGGTCAGGACACTCATTTTAGTTATCTGCTGGAATTGGCATTGCAGTACTTACCCTCTGTTTTGGCAGAATAGGCATTGCCAGGTTGTGATCACACATTTAATGGCTCCAAGCGGGCAATTTAAACCTGAGCTCTGCAGTATTATTCCTGAATTCAGTTTTTGCTCCATGACTGAATCTAGGGGAGGGCTATGCCCCTCAAGATTTAAGTTGGGCACCCCCCAAAGTCAACCACTGCCCTCCTTCACCCTGGACACTGTGCCTGGCAGCTGAACCATACTTCAGACAGCTGTACTTTCCCTGTCTTGGCCTCTTCGTAAAACAATGTATTGTCCAGCTAAGTTAATGATCAGCCGAGTAGGGTGTCCAGGGTGGTGGGGGATGCTGCCTGTAATACTCCCCAGTCATCTGGTTAGGCTGTTCCTTGGGGATTTACAATATTCCAAGGCAGCAATAATTGCTGGGTGTGGTCGGGGTTTGGATGCCTCCTCCACTCCTCCCACAGACACCTTCATTCAGGCAGATCCTGCTGCTGAAGGGAAAGAAGAGCACCCATCCAGGGAGACTTTGATCCCAAGCTATGGGGCAACACCATGACACTACATCTTGCCCTAGTCTAACATTTTCATGCCCTACCCTGCCAGTAAACTGCCCTACCCTGCCACTATACTCCCCTAACCTGCCACTATACTGCCCTAACCTGCCACTATACTGCCCTAACCTGCCACTGTACCACCCCTATACCTGCTCTAGCCTGGCACTATGCTGCCCTACAGTGCTTTTATATGTTTAATTAAAGTATGGCATTAATGATATGCTGCTTGTAAAACCATGCCTGTTTTAAATGAATGCCCCATCCATAATTCCCCATCTACAATAGATTTCTAGA